AGGACACCATGAGGGAAGGAAATATCGATAAGTGAGAAAGAATAGAACCATCGGTTGACGGTTTCGCTGTGGCGGTTTGGGATTTTCGTTCGGGTTTTCCTGGGAAAAATGTATCACATGACTTATGTATATCCTCCACTAATTTCTTCATTAAGCTAGGTCCTCTAGGTTCCCACCATACGTACTTCGCAACCAATCAAATAAACGTGGTGAGTCCAGTTGGGCTACGCTTGCTGCTAAGTTCTCTATTCCGACTGTCAAGTCATTGCTAACGGCCCCTCCAACTGATGAAGCAGAGTAAATTCGATCGTCGAACTTTCTGTGAAGGCATCATCATCACCATCGTCAGCTGAGAAAGCAAAAGCAGTGTTGACACTGACGCATGATTGCCATACCACCTTAAAGCTCATCTAATAAAATTCGAAGCTTTAGAGTGAAAAGGAGAAAAAAAGGACGGATGAGAGAGACCTAATGTTGGCCTTTGTCAAGCACTCTGAGAGGCCCACACCTCCAAGCGTCCAGTCAATCTGGAAGAAAACTGACAGCACGAACGCCACTGACATCGATCAGTCGCCATTCCTTCCAATGTCTCCAGCCAAGCACGGGCGGGACGTGGAGAACCCATCATTGAATACATACACCAACAACAACCAAACTCTTCGTAATCTCTTCCACACATCGCGGTTTGTTCTATTCTGAAGGAGATACGGGGAACAGTGATCGCCTCAGTAGATAGTGTTTCGATATGCGTAGCACATAGCTAAGCAACGGCAGCTGATGGTGAACATCACAGGAGCCAGATGGGGTATCTGATTTCCTATTTTGTTTTCCTAATGAAAGCAGTCAGTCTCAATTATTACTCAAAACGTAGTTTGGAGAGGCGGAACGCTAGTAGTGATCTGGGTGCCGCACACACAGTTGAGCAGTAAACCTAGCCGATAACAAAAGATCTTCAGTTAACGAATGGCACGTAGAACATATATATCAAGTGGTTAAGGCACGAAACGCTCGGGGAGACGAATCATTCTGCCTAGCCTGAAGATGTGACGCGGCTCGTCGCCGTCCGCGCTTGAAAGAGCAACTGTTAGCCTAGATGGAGATAAAGCAAAATAATTGTGAATTGACAGAGACAGGAACACTGGTCTCTAGTCAATTAGCCATTCAATCTACGTAGGCTTCAAGAGGAATGCATGATGGTGGTATCCGAGACAAGATAAGGCCGCTACATGTAGTATCTGCGCGAACAAAAGCTTTGTTTAAGTGAGAATAAATTCGATTTTTCGAATGTAAAACAGCTGACGCGCTCGCGAGATTTAGGACAAATCATGTCACACCCATTACAGAATGGAAGAGGCCGAAAAGCGTGGCACCTGGTGCAACGAGTCAGTGAATATAACATTCGTGGATAAATTCATTCTGGATGGTCGAAACACACTAATGAGCTTCTGATACGATCTTTAAAAGCCGAGACAGTCTTGCCGTAAGAAAAGCTAAGATGGCATTTCTGCATTGGTTTGGATAGTATCTTTGTCCGTCGAAACCTATATGGCGATGGCAGATGATAAACAAACAGTGGCGGTGTGCGCCATAGTCCATATGAACATTCTACTGTCCTGAATAAATACGGTGGATGTATCCATATTCCTAAGCTGCAAAGAGACTGCATCTTACCGCGGTGCGACCCACCAAGCTATACCGGGAGTGTGGTTCTCTTTGATACCCAGAGTTACTCATTCCAGTTTGGTCAGCAGATAGAGGCCTGACGTACAGACTCCTTATCCTACACGATGAAGGTCGGAACATGTGCAGCGAGTTGTTTCCTAAAGATCTTCCACTACTGTGGTGGTATGCCGTCACCCACTCGCTGACTTTCGGTCAGGGTTTTGAGTCGATTGCTTTGGTTGAGGGTTCTGAACGCTTTCTATCTACATGTCGGCATCCTTACAGTAGTGGAAAATATGCTACTGCCTACATTTCCCTTCTCACACTTTCACGCATCCTCTACTCCTACTCAATGGGAGCACTCCCTATGCAGGTCCAAACGCCAAGACTGGTCGCCTTGTTCGTTTTGCACGTCCACATTCAGTAATCCCAAACAACTCGAATTCAATGTTTAAGTCCGCAAAGTCTCTCTGCTTAGCTATGACCAATGTTAGCATACTAGTAGGCTGAATCCCATTCCTACTGACGTTCACTGAGAAGCTCATTGACACCAAAATCAAACAAATATATCAGAACCCACTTCCCCAACGCCCGCCTACTGATCCGATTATCAGATGTTAGGCATACCACCTATGCGAGATAACCTAAGTTACTAATGAGGCCGGGACTATTGCGTGAGGTACCGCTCAAACAGCCCCTTTCAAGCACTGGATCCTGATAAAACTGTGGCCTTGTTAGAGAGCCGCCGAGCCGTCTTTCGGTCACAACCAAACCGATGTATCATCCGACGCCAGACAAAACTGAGTGTAGGCACAGAATGCAACGCTTGATGAATTCGGAAGGTTGAAGAAACGGTCGAAGAGTAAAATGTTAGGAAGGTCCGTCGCTGGTTTTTCTTGATTCATTCGACAGGTCCTGAGAAGCATCTTGTCAGTGGAACCATCACGGGTCACGACGGCTCTCTGATATCCAACAAAGGAGAACGTTTGAGTCGTTAGGTACAGTATTTTGAATGACAGTTCAGTTGGACACGGATACGGAATCCTGCGCCATAGTCCATATGAACATTCTACTGTCCTGAATAAATACGGTGGATGTATCCATATTCCTAAGCTGCAAAGAGACTGCATCTTACCGCGGTGCGACCCACCAAGCTATACCGGGAGTGTGGTTCTCTTTGATACCCAGAGTTACTCATTCCAGTTTGGTCAGCAGATAGAGGCCTGACGTACAGACTCCTTATCCTACACGATGAAGGTCGGAACATGTGCAGCGAGTTGTTTCCTAAAGATCTTCCACTACTGTGGTGGTATGCCGTCACCCACTCGCTGACTTTCGGTCAGGGTTTTGAGTCGATTGCTTTGGTTGAGGGTTCTGAACGCTTTCTATCTACATGTCGGCATCCTTACAGTAGTGGAAAATATGCTACTGCCTACATTTCCCTTCTCACACTTTCACGCATCCTCTACTCCTACTCAATGGGAGCACTCCCTATGCAGGTCCAAACGCCAAGACTGGTCGCCTTGTTCGTTTTGCACGTCCACATTCAGTAATCCCAAACAACTCGAATTCAATGTTTAAGTCCGCAAAGTCTCTCTGCTTAGCTATGACCAATGTTAGCATACTAGTAGGCTGAATCCCATTCCTACTGACGTTCACTGAGAAGCTCATTGACACCAAAATCAAACAAATATATCAGAACCCACTTCCCCAACGCCCGCCTACTGATCCGATTATCAGATGTTAGGCATACCACCTATGCGAGATAACCTAAGTTACTAATGAGGCCGGGACTATTGCGTGAGGTACCGCTCAAACAGCCCCTTTCAAGCACTGGATCCTGATAAAACTGTGGCCTTGTTAGAGAGCCGCCGAGCCGTCTTTCGGTCACAACCAAACCGATGTATCATCCGACGCCAGACAAAACTGAGTGTAGGCACAGAATGCAACGCTTGATGAATTCGGAAGGTTGAAGAAACGGTCAAAGAGTAAAATGTTAGGAAGGTCCGTCGCTGGTTTTTCTTGATTCATTCGACAGGTCCTGAGAAGCATCTTGTCAGTGGAACCATCACGGGTCACGACGGCTCTCTGATATCCAACAAAGGAGAACGTTTGAGTCGTTAGGTACAGTATTTTGAATGACAGTTCAGTTGGACACGGATACGGAATCCCGGCCTTCAACAGAAAGGTGGATTGTGAATAGGAATCTCACTTCAACCCCAGAAGTGTCCGACTGTACCTCGCTACTCGATCGTCATCGTGTTCCTGGTCCTGATGACCGGTGATTAATTCCTCTGATAGTACCTGTCTAGTCTATTCGCGTCCATTTGGGAGAAAAAGACCGTCCCAGACAATGGGAATGAGCCGACAATAGTACCCACCGCCAGTATCCAACAATTTGGGAGAAAAAGACCGTCCCAGACAACGGGACGACAATAGTACCCACCGCCAAAGAGTATCCAACAGTACTTGCGGCGGTGCACCTGATACAGTGCTACGCTCCAATCCTCTCCGCAACAACGCACTAATGATGTAGCCTCCATTGGTGATGAAATATTTGCAAATTAAATGCCCAACATAGCGAACAAAGCAAAGGACAAACGACGTAACCTGAGCTACCAACATTCGCCTCAGTAGCAGGGACCACATCATTCGGCTGTGAGAAGCAACATCACTGGACAAAGGATGCACTTTTAGTGTATCAGCGACCAAAGAAATAGTTGCAGATCCCGGCTAAAAAAACTGAACAGACTGCGCTATAACCGGTAGTTGGATACACCGTATATGATCATGGCCCGCCGTTGCGCCAAATGCCGCTTTATTCCGTCGACGGAAATCTTTACGACTATTTTTAGGTTCTCAGTCTTGATTACATGCACGTAAGAGTGAGAAGAATTTATAAAAATACAGGTTTAATCGGTTGAACTTACTAGCTGCCCGTGTCTGAAATAGGAGGATTGTGATAGTGTGCAGAAGTACTCTGTTGCTCCCTCAGAGCTTCCTCTAGCATAATCCTAGCTTCATTGCCTTGAATCGTGTGCGAAGATTTGGGATGTGTTGACGAGGCGGACACTGTCGAATGGTGTTCACCACCAGGAGACCAACGACCAGCAGGCGTGTGGTTATCAACAGGTGTATCTATTGAAACTTTTCGCTCAGTTGCGTCCATCAAAAACGCCACACACTTCGATGAAGTATCATTTATTCCAACCGTTGTTTCAGTGTTAGGCAGAGTGTGAGTGGATGAAATACTTTTCTCGGACTTTTCGGTAGCTAACCAAACATCCTGTACGGAAGACGCCGATTTCTTTCGAACCGCCGACTCCGCGTATGAGTCTGAGGATGTACTACTGCTGGCGATTGACTTTGATTCCAAATGCGCCTCACCGTCCGTTACATCGGGAGCAGCCTTCGGAAGCACCGGTTTTTCGGGAGGTGGAGTCTTATGTGCAACTTCGTTGTGTGCGCGGTCACGTTGCTTGAGAGCAGATCTCGGCGGTGTTGTTTTCCCAGAACGTGGTTTATGAAGCTTTTTTCGATTAGAATCTACCCTTGAAGGTATTGGCACTGCTGTTGTGGCCATTGCATACTGAACTGCTTGGACAGGAGTCCCACGAGATCCAGCTGCAAAGCTGCCTGTCGATGCGCTTTCTGTACTCACTGTACGTACCACAGACGCAGGATGGGTGGGTAGGTTTGTGTGTGGTGAAGTCCGTTTTGAATGAGAAGTACCGTGTGACTTCTTCGAGGAAATTATGGGAACAGGCGCTGCTGTAACTACACTCCTGTGAATCGACATAAGGTGATCCGATTAAAACAGAAGGCAAATAATCCAACTTCGCAAGAAAGTTCGGCAGAAACAAAAGAACCCTGATGATTAAAGAAAATTATCTCAGGGGTTGTCTGTGGTATCCTACTGGATTCGTTAATAGTCCAGGGCTTCGAACGTATTATGTGTTCAGATTTCTGACCTGTCAGATGAAGTAATCTGAAGAGTGAATTCTGAAAGAACCCTATTTTTCACTACATACCGCTAGGTGGACAGAAAACAGTAATCAGATCAAACTGTAGCTCAAAATGCCGGCCGATACCTCGACAGGTCAATCCAGGAGCCTTACATGGTTCTTCGTTGCAGAGCTCTAGGCCAACGTTCCCAACTGAAACCCAGAAAACGAATACAGACACAAAAGTGCCAGTATACACATCGTACAAATTTGAAGCATTCCGCGGCGGTATCCGTTGAAGCCACCTTAATCAGCCAAATTCGCCTACTGCTATTTTTTCAGCTCTCGGTTATGGTGTTCTCCAATGCCTCAGACTTATTCTTTTCACTTGCCAAGGTACACGGTACCTGGACCTAGGGACTTCTCTGTGAGTAGTGAGGAGATTTAAATACTTCGCTTCGAAGAATAATTCAGCTGGCTCCCGCAACACGGCCTCGGAGATAGTGCATATGGGCAAATAGAACGTAAACTTTAAAACTCGTGTGAAGATATAAAGTGCGAAATATCTGCACTGGGACGTGACAATCCACCAGAACCGGACGGTCTGCATTTAGCTTTATCCAAAGAAGGCGGAGAATCCCTGGTGACCCATCTAACAAAGCTTATTGGTGCGATATGGAGTGAAGAAAAAGTGCCTGCGGAATAGTGCAGGAAGATAGTTACTCACATCTTCAAAAAGGGCACGCGAACGCTGTGTAAAAACCAACGTCACATCCAACGCGCTCTCTGCTCTTATCCTCCGAAGGTCAACTGAACACATGGAGAGACAGATCTGTGAAAACCAAGCTGAGTTCGCCCTACAAGAGGACGCATCGATCACATTTTCACACCACGACAGATTTCGGAACGGCGACACATTCCAGGGCCAACAATGGTTCTCCTTCGATTTGAAAGCTGTCTTTGACTCTGTGGACCGTCAGGTACTATGCTAGTGTCTGTGGAGTGAAAATGTCCCCGTAAATTCTCGACCCCCCTTAAGCAGCTGTATGCCAAATCACGCGGACGTGTGAAGGTCTACGAGTTCACCTGAGTTCAGATGGTGTCAGGCAAGGCTACCCTTTTCTCTTCAACTTTGCCAGTGATACGATTATGGGAGACTCACTATCAGCCACTAGTGCCTTTTGGGTCAAGGTGCTCCCAGAGTGTCCGCTCACAGATATAGAGTACGCAGATGACAGCTCTTCTTAGACCTCACCCGTGGTAATGCAAACAATACTAAATAATCGAAATAATTGTCTCACGATTTGGCATGCAATTCACACCTGCATAGTGGAAAGTGCTGCTGGAAGACTGGGTGGGATCAAACCTTAATCTTATGCTTGCTGATGAGCCGATTGAGGTAGTGTACAAATTTGTCTGTCTGGGCAACTGTATCAGTTCCGGTGGTTTCGCGAAACATGAAATTTCCATCCGGATTGAGGAGATCAGAGCAGCTTTCGTGAAACTGCATCGCTTGTGGCGTAGGCGTGACATTAGCCCATCCGTCAAGAGTCAGGCTTACAGTATGGCATTACGCTACATACTACTATACGGGTCAGAAAACCTGATCGCTGCGCCCCCACATATCAAGACTTCCAGTGTTTGACTATCGGTGTTTTTGGAGCATCGCCCGAGTTTGGTGGGAACACCGGATCCGTAATGCTCAGTACATCGATTAGTTTTCGGAAGAAATAACTAGCCCATGGTAAGTGAACTGATCATATTGCGCTGTCTTGGCCACGTGTTCCGTATGCCAGTCAACCGAATTTCTCGAAGGGCTCTTTTCGCACAATCACGTGAAGGGTGGAAACGAGTCAGGGGAGGTCAAAATGAATTGGCAGCGAAGTTGAAAGTCATTACCAGAGAACTCAGCTGCGTTGGTCATTGCCTTCTCCCTGGACGGGGACCCCGAGACATCAATGATCAAAGGCATCGTCCAGTCGCATCCCCAGTAGTGTTCGTGCATCCGATGCATAGCGCCTCTCCCAGTCATCCCAATTAAAAGTCCACTGACAATCCCGTATTTACGCATCAATTATATCATCCACACCCTCCAATTCGCAGCTATCTACGCCATCTCCTCAAAATTGTGGCAGCTAGAACTACTCTACTTACAGCTGACGACGGTGGTGAGCTCGGATGTGCTTTCAGGATTCAGGAATTCAGTAGCTCGATCACGTGGATGACACAAGGGAGCGGGACGACGATTTGAATACAGTTTAGGCCAACTCACGTCGGATGTCAGTATTATGACATGCACTTCTCGCCAGAGATGTCATCGTCGTAATCGTCCAGCTGCAACACACTCCGTGCATAGCTGCCATGCCACCTGAAAGCACTAGGGTTAAGATAATGCTAAATCGCCCATGCTTAAGCAGGGGCGGTTGAGATGCAGAGGTTGGGTTGAACGCTGGTCAACACTTTTACGACAGAATTGACAGCTGTCTGGATTCAACCTTCACTGGCTATGAGGCTTCTCGCACGTTTGGTGGCAGGGACGAATGAGGAATGCGTGATTATTGCGACGGAACTATGATGACCTCAACAACGTCGAACTAGAACGCCTGATCAAACTGATTGGCTAAGGAGTATTTTGGGGATGGAAGAACGCCGCACACAACAAGTGTGATTTGCGCTCCCAGGCCAAGGGGGAAGAAATATCGCTGGGTCCAAACAGCAATAAGGAGACGTGATTTGGAGGATAGCTAGAACCCTTGTACGGCAAGTACGTGGTTCTTACAGCTGATGATGTGTGTGGGTGTTATCGATATCGCGGTTGGGTTTCGCGCACTAACGATTTCGCCCCACCTGTTGATGTAACGTTGTGACGCTAGTTGCCAGGCTCGGCGAATAGATGCATCGCCATCCGATCCACAGCTGATCAAGCCAGCCGAGCTACCAAAATAGAGGAATGTGCTCATTCTAGTTAGAAAAACAGTAAGGGGGCTAGTGATAAGTGGTAAGTTTCAAGTACTTATAAAAACCGTGCTAAAATTCGGAAAGTTCGCTGAGGACAAGCCTTGTCTACTCCGGAGAGAACAATACACTGAATGCAAACAGAACTACTGCAAATATGGTGGCCACATGTATCCTCAATGCCAAGCTGCCAAAACTCGATCTTCAATCACGAGAGCGGCATGTTTACAGGCGACAGTACGACATACGTGGAAATAGCATGATAATAAGATAAGATAATCGTTCATCTGTAGCACCCTTTTGGTGCCTAGCCGCCCCGAAGGAAGTACAAGGGCTGGGATACCGTCAAGTTGACCAAGTCTAGACAGGGGAAGTGGAGAGGCAGAAGTCGGGTTTGAACCACGGACCTTTCGGTCGGTAAATTTGCGCCCTAACCACTGAGCGATCCTACCATTTCGGTAGGTAACAGGATGGGACCGGGGTTCACATCAGTCAAATGAAATTCAGCCATTACGAGCAGCACTGATCAAAATCGTCAGTGTTTACCTATTAACACAGCGGAACGATCACAGTAAACTCAACAAATTTGAATATATCTAAGAAAAAATCAAAACATCAGATGATTGAACTGAACTAACCTTCCACCATCCTGTTTCGCCGGTTTGTTGGATGGGCGACCTGTGGGAAAAACAAAAACCTTTTCAGGTTTTGTACCACGGTAGTGTTCATTGAGACTTAAGTATTCGGTTGCTAGCTGCTTCAACCGGTTCCGTTCAGTTCAGTTATTCAGGTGTAACCGTGTACAGGGGATCCCTCGACCACAGTTTCGTTCACGGAGAATGAGGAAAGTAAGCGAACGACAACTGCGCGTTGGAGTCAAGTACCCGTTAAATTTTAATCGTCCCACAATGTATGGAGTGAGAGAGCTGCACACTGAAGGCAACGGCTTTGATACAGGACTGCAATTGGTTGTGTTACATAGTCATATTTGTCAGGACAACGAACATTTGTTTCTAACGTCCGGAGATTCGTATCTGAGGTAATTTGGCCGGTACATACCACCAAGTTACATTATTTCGAACACATGCAAAATAAACTGACAGTATATGTGTGTTTGACCACTGCGTACCCAACTTATTGTTCCCATCCACAAAAATTGGGTGAACATCAGGTCAATAAATTTACTGACCCCGTATCATGTTATTTTTCAAGTTACCGAAAACAGGTTAAATGCAGAAACACTTTGTTACCAGGTTGAGTTGTCTGTCATAAATTTTGTGCCTAAATCAACACACAGAAGACGTAAGTTCATGACTTTCAAACTTGGTTGCCAAGACATCGACCGATTTTCGGACTCTTTCCAACCTACACTTAGCTGGACGAAAAAGTATTTCGGGGATTTCAGTGGCAAATGGAAACCGAAATAGCAAACACCATCATGAAAAGATTATCGTAATTCGTTGTCAGTGAGCACTCATATTTTCGATCCCGGGTAACTTTTCGCTGAGCTTCGCAGGATGAGTGAGTAACTTTTTCCCTAAATAGTACCGAGTTTGCCGAGAGCAAATCACCTGCACAAACAGTGCGATTTTGCGAGAGAAATAAAGAAAAATTTCTGGTGAGTATTCGACGCCGGAAAGACTGTACATACGCCGTGTGAATGAAGACAGAAGGGACTAGAAGCAATGGTGCTGTGAAAATTTCAGGTTCGTGTGGTTGGAACACGTCGACATCCGGACAGTGCGAAGTGACATATCGTAAGCACACGTACATATTGGTGTTCGTACGGGTGTGTGCATTTTCGTTCCAGGTCAATCGATAGGTCGGAACACAAGGTCTAAAGCACGATTATTGCAGGAAGCACAAAATTGGCCTTAGCTCCCAGTTGTCTCCAAATCGATAGTTATGTGCGGTGGCATATTTTCGGCACACGCGTATGACAATTATTGACTAACCTGCAATAGACCGAACGGCGGGTGGAAGCTCGAGGGAGGTGATGTGGCCGAGACACGAATAAATAACAAACAGCACACGATAATACATAATTGTACGGTGAAATGGAAGTAGATGGCAATGAAAAAAATGAAAAAGGTTTGGTTGGGTGTACGAGAAAACACAATTAGGAGAAGCTGGCCGATAGCTAACTTCGGTCACCCATTGGTTGCGCTGAATACTTAAGTCAATCAAAAGATTAAGGGACGATGTCAAGCATTTGCCTCTAGCGCTTCACAGAAATTTCATTCTACATGAAGATTGTTTCAGTTATCCTATCTTTTACTTGAGGACAAAATTTAACATTAATTCACAAATAAAAGCGTTTTTAGTCGCTGGCTTAGTTAACAAAAATGACGTCAGTCAAGATAGTCCTCCAAGGGGTGGTGAGTTCTTCGTTTTTTCTTCTGGAGGTATTTTACCAAGCCATCTTGAATGCACCATTGCATGTTTTAAGTGCCACATGCCCTGGTTTTAAGTCCCAAGGTCGCCACAATTTTCTGCTGGGATTAAGCTTAGTTCGTTCAGTTCTCAACAAAAACAACTCATTGTTCGACGTGTTGTTCTCGACTTCATATCCACACCAAGAAATCCAGCCAGATAAAGCTCAACCTACAGGTTTTTCTTCCTAGCCCCTGTGTTGGCTCAAAATCCGAAGGCTCAGAAAGGGCTTGCTACCACTCAGCCTTGCCACACGATGACTCTCCGGATCGGAGTTTTTGATGCATTAATAACATTCAGGATTCAACATCGGACAGGCCAGAACTTACCGCTAATTGTGTGCGATGTAGTACGTGTGTGAAAATCAGCGTTGTGCTCCGTGGTCACAGACGTGTGGGCACTTCCAGTGCCACTAAACACTTGCCCCATTTGAACAAGCGCACGCTTTAGAGCAACCGGGAGAGAAGACGTCAAAGAGTGGTGTTCACGATGGACCCCTTCCATAGCAAGGGTTGGATGTTTCGGCAGCGGTGTTTGCGACGGTTTCGGACTGGATTCAACCACTTTTCCGCTTGGTGCAACAGTGAAGCGGCCGATCTCAACTGTCGGCTTGTCAGCCTCTGGTGTTAGCTTAGACTGAGGTGGACTCGTCTGTGTGTGGAGCAATGAATCTGGAAGTGTCAAGTTAGCCTGAGACTGTGGAGACGGAGCTTTTGCGAATTCCTCGCAAAGACTGTGTAGAGGAAAAAGTGGAAAGCGAACTAAGGGATTAAACTTCATGACCGACCATATTCATACATCGGTTTCATATTTAAAAAAGCCATATTTAGTATGCCACAAGTTGAGAGCAGCATATGTAATGAAGAGGGAATCGTTTTTTGTTATTCTTCCTTAGGAAATGTAGGCTGCCATGGGGTAATTACCAGACGTCAAGAAAGCATGAAGGGCTAAAAATATCACGCTCACACAAAGAACTGCGAAGGAGTTTCGGGAAGCAGATGATAGGTGGCGTAGACGTGGTCGAATTCTGGATTAACGACCGAAGACTCGAGATCCGCCCTTGTAAATCCCATGGCTTCCATGGCCTTGACCCTCACTTCATCCAGTTGAGATCGCGGCGGTTCTTTGAACGGTCGCAGAACATCGTTTGGCGGATAGCCCATATTGACCCATTTATCTTGCATCAAAAACTGGAAAAGAAGGAAAATAACGGCTGCTTGGTATGGAAAAGATTTCTGTTAACCTAATGAATAACAGATTACAGAACATGTAAATTGAGAATTTGCCTCACGGAAACACGGTGTAAGAATGTGCGGGTGAAATGATCCATTAAATAGATCAAACCGACAGGAAACAAATCGGACAGCTGTACCTACCCAACCACGTTCGAATAAAAAACAAGCACCCCATCCAATGATAACTGACCGGTATCAGCTAAAGATGGAATTTGTCTTACAGTTGGCTCCACATAATACTTAAACAGCGCGAATCGCCAGTGAGAAATCGAAGATGGAGAAAACGTGGCGCAAATAAGAAAGTATGAAAGCTCTTTCGTTGAAGTGGTGTTGAGCGCGAATGTGTCCTTAGAACTACTGTGTCATTTTACTCTGGAATTGTAGATAAAACTACAGAAAGACTATAAAGGTTAACCTTTGAAGATAAACTAGAAGCAAGACGTCCCTAGATAACTGGTCCGGCTGGTTGAGCAGAAGAAAGTGTCCGAAAAAAATTGGACTCGTTCAAACACATAGGGCAAACAAAAAGTAACATACCTAAACACGAGTTGGTCGTGCTAAAGTAAGCTGTGGTGTTCACAAATTTCCTTGAGTAGTTGCTTTTTCATGAAATTCCACTAGTTCGACCATAAACCACTCGAAAAATCAGCATACGATGCTTCAGTACCGTTCAGCAACGCATGTGACAATCAATGAAAAGGAATGGCACGGCCAATTCCGTCCGAAGTGAAAAGACGGCAATTTGCGACAGGCTACTTGCGGTCTACTCTACTCTAGCAGCTTCGTCCTCCATGCCTGTTAGTTCTCCCTTCCTCCTACTTTCCATTGCCCGCCATCACCGACAGGAATCTTCTGCGTCTTCTGTCATACCTTGATATCATCAAACCGCCTGTCCCTGGATGGCACCCCTAAGTTTTGTCCGGAAATGTGAGTCAAAACTAGCCTGAGTAACTCCACACTTTTCATTGCTTCGACGCCTTTAAGTATCGTTTCCTTGTCCCGTTTCACACGTCGTATGCATTCACAAACGTCGCTTCCCCAACAACTACCGTTCTGACTATTTTTCTGCTCCCTTGTTTGAGGGTGGTTAAAAAGGCTCGCTAACAATTCGGCAAAACTCACGAAGATCGTGTGGTTGGCGAAAGAAGTGGTGGGGAAATTTAGATACCTACTATCGTTCCTGTACGCAGGATGTGAGAATCATTGGGGTGATCGTCTAAAGGCTGCTAAAAAGTACCTTCCTGTGTTGGCTTACGGACGCAGCGTTTGACTGAGTCAATCGTGCTGATTTGTGACCACTCCCCAGATTTGAAACGTTTCGAATGTCTCCATCACACTTACTAGGTCTATTACACCAGTCGTTGAACTTCATCCTGAGGATGACCTCAAAAGCCCAGAAGTATACAAAGAATGACTTTTCGCGGTTGAATGCATCAGGATATACCATACACTCAATAGTCGAAATAGTGTAATAGGTTTGAATAGGCGTTCTATACCCAACCGTGCTTTAAAAAAGCAACTTCTAGTAGCGAAGCTACATTAACCTGTCAATGAAGGAAAGGCCTCAGCAGCGCGCTCGGTACTGACTGGGGGTACCACCAGTGAGTGCAGTGTCAACGGCTCTATTCTGTAACAGGACAATTGGCCACAGCAATACCTAAAATGCAGTTCCTAGTCGGGCAACAAATTCACCCTTCAAAGTTCAAGGACAGAAAACTTCAAGTCACATCGGACAGAAAACCGATAAATAACCTCACGTTTTCACGAACAGAATTGGCCAACATGTGACCCATAAACCCAAAAATTCACTACCAGCACGACGTATTACCATATCCACAGATAGATATGGTCTCGTACTTTGAGAGAAGAGCGGTCTTTCGGATCCAAAACAAGCATCTTCCTCAAAAGCGCTTCGCATTCCGGAGAGACTGATCCTTTGGGGATAGTGTAGTTCAGGCCGATGATTTTGCTTCTTAATTCCCGAAGATCGCGAGCGTCGAATGGTAGATGCCCCAGAACAAGAGTGAACAGAATCACACCCAACGACCAAACATCCACACCGGGTCCGTAATAAGGAATACCCTTGAAAACGAAAAATAGGATGAGGTTTATTACTAAAAAGAATAGCAAACGCAAGACGATGACCCGAGGAGTACATTCATTTATTAAACAGTGAAGAGCAGAGCCCAACTGATAAAATTTCATCGTACTTTGAAGTAAAACACGATGGAGACTGTGGAAGTATCCTTCAAGAGTTGTGGTCATCATATGGATCACTTTATCTAGGCCGCCTCATCATTACGTTGATGAGTGAAAACTCTCAACCATAAAACAAATCCTGAAAATTTCGACTGATGCCGCAAAACCTAGTTTGGAAATTGCCTGAACGTCCGAAGAATCCAGTTGCTAAGCGCCATTCATGACCATTCTAAAACATCCCATAGATTAACTGAGTGGAAATCATTGCTGATCAGCCACGCGTCAACACATAGTACCGGGTTTAACTACGGAGGGTCTCCCGGAATTCGCGAAACAAGTTGGCAGATAAATGACTGTTTGCCTATGAGGAAGGTCGTTAGATGGTACACGACCCCTTCAATATGCTGGCAGCCTACAATGGGAAACACCAGTTGCTGGCCAGTCACGTCACTCCTCTGCTTTTCATATTAGGCTTCTTGGCAAAAGCTTCAGTGGTTCTAGGAGTCCCTTCTTTGGTCTGGGTGTCATCATCATCATCATTATCAGCCGTAATAACCGCGTACTTGTCGTACAGTGGTTGTAGCTGCCACAGTTCCGTTCACCGATAATTTGGGAGGGGGTGGCTGCGCATTCGAGGAAGCTGATAAATACAGCACTGTCAGTGGACTGTCAAATGGGGGGATGAGGAAGGGAACTATGCATTGACGGCAATAACTTGGAAGCGGAAGCGCAATTGAGGGCGCGATTGACAATGTCTCTCTCTGGGTTACCGAGAAACGCTCTGCTAGCAGGTAGATGTGAGAGTACTAAGGCAAGAAAAGTAGTCAGTAGATCCATGGGAGCGCCAGCAATGGGCTGAAACCTTCTAATTGCTTATCATCTCCCTTAAACGGAGACTAGTGAATAGTTTTGAACATTATATCAGTAGGGTTTACAGTAGTCCCAAAGTGAACAGGTTAACCATGCCTACTTGGCGTTCGCCTTCTGAGGCAGATTGGGCATCACTCTAAACATTGGAAAGCATGAACACCGAAGTGAGTTTCCTGAAAGACACACATTTACGATCTTAGCACAGAGTGCGATCTACAACCGTTGAGATTAAACTCCAAACGTATCCCCCAGTTTGTTCTGAAGACCCTGTGGTCACATCATCTGGTTCGTCAGGTGTGAAAATAGTGTTCAACCAACGCCTACTCATTGTACACAACTGAGTGGGACGCTTTTGAAAATCCTGACTCGCCGTAGTTAAAAAAAAACAGAAAAACATATAAAACGGTGATTCCTAAAAAAGTGATTACCGGTGAGAATAGATTGGGCTCAAAACAATGCCTTGAGGGCTTGGCGTTTTTCTCATCATAACCTGTCCTCCGCGAAGCATTTGATACAGGTTCGGAGTGGCAAACACGGCTCCCTTTGAGGGGGACTGAGTGGACACATGTATTATGCGACCAAAAAACTATGACCTCGTCAAGCGAATAGGATTCGTTTACTGGTCACTTCATTGCGCGCACACTGCAACCTGGTAACGTCCGCTATACTACGGAGATAGCGTGGATTAAATATCTGAAGGTGTTTGACGTTTTCAGATCGGATAGACCGAATTTCTCACAGCTTTAGAGCAGGATTGCCCTCAGGGTCATTTAGAAGACACGGTCCATTAACCTCGGTGGTTTTTATTTCTATTATCAAGTTTACAAAATACTACTTGTGCCATAGTGAGGGTGCACTGAACTTGTCTGGCAGTGCAGTGACAATCCACTCAGCTGTCAAAATAAGTGAAACATAAAAAAGGGTCCCTAATATGAAGTTCCAAGGAAATAGATGGGGAGAGAAGCAACGGAGTGACACTGCAGTTTCAAGGTGAAAAAATACATGCCGAAAGGGGACTCGACTGGGAAGATCTGAGAAAGGGCGAAAGGAGGAACCCTCGTTTGATACCATTAAAACGGTAAGCTCAGGAGAGTCTACCGTAGAGGAATGCAAAGTCTTCATAAGATTATAATTTAGAAAGAACGTCATTCAGCGCCGACAACGTCACAGTTTCTTAGCCGAGTAAAAAGCAAATTCCATAAACTGCTGGTCGTCAGAAAGAGTGGCGAAGTTCCAGCACTCGTCACAAGGTGAAGATATGATCGACCCAACCCCAGCCACGACAAAATCCAGCTAGCTGAATTCCCGCTAATCCGACTCTCTCAACGGTGGACCAGCCTCCCCGGGATAATGCCAGACTGACTGGCACGCTGACTAGACTGGTGCCCTGATGGTTTTCGCACAATATTCCTGAACGCTTTTTGAACATAGGAACCAGTCGAAGCGCTCTATTCTGTCGGCATCACGTCTTCACTCCATAAATTCTGATGTAAACTCTGAGGCCAAACACAAAGGATTGCGTCTTCTTTGAAGATTGATTCAGACGATATAGACCAAGTGTCAAAACAATGAAATTTCACGTTGGAATTCCTTCGTCGATGAAAGCTGGTATACATACTCCTACCAGGGGTCGTTGGTGAGGGCCAGATGAAGCGTTCTTCGAAGTGTTCAGCACATCGGTCAGGGCAACCCTTCTCTGAAACGAGATGAAGTCATAGTTCTTCGAAGATCATATCGAGAAAACGTACCTCCCTCGGGCCCGTTGATCGGACTGGCTGGAATGCAATGTGAATGTTTCCTGTTAAAGAAGCTCCTTCCATGTCCCGACCACTGCCGACTTTCAGTTTTCACTGTTCGGCGCTTGAGGGAACGTGTATACCATCAAAGGCATTTGTTGCCGAAATAGCCTTCCTGCAACCAATGAGGGATCTGGCGAAAGATAATATTTCCATCCGGATTGGGAAGTCCAGAGCAGCTTTTGTGAACCTACATCACCTGTGGCGTAGGCGTGACATCAGCTTCTCTGTCAAGGGTCGAGTTTACAATGCTGCGGTGCGCTCCATATTACTATACGGTCAGAAACCTGGCTGCTGCACGCCGAGGACGTCAAAAGACTTTCAGTGTTTGATCATTGATGTCTTCGGAGCATTGCCCGAATATGGTGGGAACACCGGATCAGCAATTCTGAAGTAGGTCGAATGGTATTCCGGAGAAATAACTCACCCTCGATAGATGAACGGATCACACTGCATAGGTTGCGCTGGCTTGGTCACGTGCTGCGTATGCTAGTCGAACGACTTCCTCGAAGGGTTCTTTTCGTACAACCACGTGAAGGGTGGAAGAGGGCCGGAGGCGGTCAAACAATGACTTGGAAGCGAAGTGTGAAAGCCATTAACAGCGAACTTAGCTGCGCTGGCCACTGCCGTCTTCCTGGATGGGAACCCCGAGACGGGCCACATCAACGGCTAGAGACATTGTCGGACATGGCTCAGCCGCGCCCTCAATGGCGCTCATGCATCCAAGCTATTACCTTAAATGCATAGCTCTTTTTCCAATCCCTCCACTTGACAGCCTAATGACAGTGCTGGATTTATGCACCAATTTATCAACTCCCGCCTCCAATGCGCAGCTACCTACACCTCCCCCCCCAAATCATCAGTGAACGAAACTGTGGCAGCTACAACCACTGTATGACGAGTACGCGGTTATTACAGCTGATAATGATGATGATGATGGTGACTAATAAGGGATGCCGATCGATGCGGCGGGTTTAGAGCTCATTTTATGTTGTGTTTACAGCACGAAGTTTTATTGCGCAAGGAAGTAAAGATAGCGGTACGTAACTGCGTGGTCGTCCTGAATGGGAATCAGACAAAAGCGAACGCCTGCTATGGTTACATGCTAACCACAGACTGCTTCTGTGGTACTAACTTCAGAAAACAACCGTAGCCACTTGACCACATGGTGTCCCCGCATAGGAGCAAACAGAGATACACCACATCGCCATCAGCTACAGGTAGCATGGGCCAATTATTGGTTGTCGTTTGTCCTCAGAACCTATGTAGATTCGAAGCACACGCTTTAGCAATGTTGCTTCCCATCGCGACCTTCAGAGATGCACAAGACGCACACACCCTGACCAACCATTAAGAAGCTCTCGGACCCTGATGTGACACAAGTCTACCGAAACCACCAAATGAAGTTGCTTTCACACACGTCTCCTGATGTTGACTCTAATTGGAAGGTACTGTCCGTAACCCATCAAGATGCTAAGCGCTTCACTTGGGAATTGGTTCACCCAATTAAACTATATATTGTCGAAGGACAATACCGCTAGAACCGTAAGACTTCGGTTGAAAAAGGGCATCTGAGCAGAGCGAGAGGCTTGGTGGATCAAAGCTGAAGTGAGAAGCTCTGGAAATATGCTTGCACTATTCTAGCCCGATACGCGTAACGGTCCCGAAAAAGCATACGATGGACTGAACAACCACTAATAACAACGGCTCGCTTACCTGTGAAAAAAGACAGCATGAGTCCTTAGGCTGGACACTTGGAACCTATTCAACTAGGCATCTGCAACTGATAAAACGGATTTCCAACCCGTTCCAACCCGCAACGCAGCACTGGACGGCGAAATTGAAGTCCTCTGACGGCTTTGGAAATAAGCAAATGCATTTGGAGCCTCAAGCATAACCAAGCCGCTGGTTCTGACGAACTCTCAGCCGCTCTCTTCCAAGAGGGTGGGTCATTGCCTGCAGCCTCTTCTGGAATACCTGTGTGAAGTCTAACCATGCACTTGTCCGCCGCTAGTTTCCACTGCCCTTTTCAAGTCTATGCAAAACACGCACACCTCGCTTGGCCAATGGGAAACCCGTGGACCCGGAAATCAAGCAAGCCCATCAATATCAGCTCCTCTAACGCCTGCCGAATGGTCTGTCATTGCATATTACCGACCACCGGAGAAAAATATCCGAAGCGCTAGTCAATACCGGAACCTCTGTCCGCAGCACAACCCAGCCAACCTCATCCAGGCATTTGATATCTGGTAAGATCGTGGCTTCACTGGAGGCCCGGCGACTGAATTATCTTGGTCGCAACCACAATTCAATTGGACGCATCATCCGGTGCCAGGTAAAACTGAGTGTCCGTGCAGACCGAAAGCTTGACTGATGCAGATAATACTGGGAACGTTTGCAAGCTGTTTCACTTGATTCATTTGGATGGTCTTTCGAAGCCTTCGGTCAGTGAAATTATCGGGAACCAAAATGACTCCCTGATGTCCAGTAAAGTAGAATGTCTGGACCGATAAGCACAATACTTCGAACAGCAACTCGGTTGGCGACCTGTTACTTCTACTCCGGAGTCCCGGACTTCAACAAAAAGGTAGTGTTAATATGGAGCCTCTTTCAACTTCAGAAATGTCCGAGTGTATATCGCTACTCGAGCGTTGTTGTGTTGCTGGTTCTAATGACCTTCCACTGGCTCTGTTAAAGGATGGGACTGGGTTTCTCAGTCGGTGCCTGTCTCGTCTATCTGTATATCTGGGAGAAAAATCGTTCTAGAAAACTGGGGTGAGTTGACAATAGTTCCCATTTTTAAAAAGGGTACTCACAGTGAACGTGGTAACTACAGATGAGCTAGTTTGATTCCCGTTGTAACAAGGATTCTTGAAACACTGGTTCTTGGGCATCTCACAAATCCTTGACCCATGAGAATCAAACGGGATTTCGACCGGGTAGAGGCTGCGTTGACCCAATCCGTTATGAGTTGACAATAGTTCCCATTTTTAAAAAGGGTACTCACAGTGAACGTGGTAACTACAGATGAGCTAGTTTGATTCCCGTTGTAACAAGGATTCTTGAAACACTGGTTCTTGGGCATCTCACAAATCCTTGACCCATGAGAATCAAACGGGATTTCGACCGGGTAGAGGCTGCGTTGACCACAATCCGTTAGGAGTTAGAGCAACACAACACGTACAAACTATCCATAATCTTGAAGTCTCTTGAATACAGGGGTACGTTGGATTCTGTAAACTGGGTAGTGTTTCTAACTATACTTGCTGAACACTGGATGCTCCAGAAGTTTAAGAACATGATCCGGTTCCCATATTCACACACTTCGAGGAGTGCATGGTGAGCCTTCTAGAAGCTTCTTAACAAGTGGCGTCCGGCAAGGATGTCTGCCCTCTTTATGAGTGTTCAGCTTCATCCTTGTTGAAACGAATTGGAAGGTCTTCAAAACCCCGGTGATCGGAAAGAACTAGGAAGGTGCAGCTACCAGTAGAATTCGGTAGTCTGGGTAAACTACTGGTTTTTTCATTTTTCGGACAAAAACTGTCGTAACCAGGTATCCGTCCACAAAAGCAAACAGGATGCTTACACCGAATCTACCTTCGCTCGAGAAACGCTGAAAATGAGGCCAAGGAAGTAGGATGCCCGATTGGCGGACAACATGCTACGTATTGTGATTCCATACATGCCAGCCGGTGTCCAGCGCCAATATTTGGGAATCTTTGACAGAAATCGACCTTTGCCAGCATACTACGCCATATCAGTTCATTGCATCTCACATCTTCGCCCTAAAAAACTACCATTTTCTTGGAGATAAATTTATATGTTTATGCGGCACCTAAGAACTAGTTTGTCATAACGGTGCTGTTGTAAGCGATTTTGACGGCGATCCACTTGGAGCGGATGGAAACGAGGACGCGTTAGAGTTCTCCTTATGCTAGCCTAATTGCCAATTTTTTTCAACCAAAGTGTTGTTACCTTAGCACGATCAACCATCACGGATGGCAACAAAACGTCTAACTCCGAGATCTTGTCTACTGATCTACCCAAAGCTACACCTGTCACTACAACAATTGGGACCTCGCAATCTACAAGCCGCAATATCAGTATAACTTCAAGGCCATCTACACTGTTAAAATGGTCTGGGGGTGAAATGAAATATCATTGGAAAACAACCAACAAAAACTCACAAGAAAAAGTTCAGGAGCTGCATATGGAGGGCTACCACAAAATGTATTCAGACGCTGACCATAATCAAAAGTGTTGGCTAGTCCGAAGTCTGCTACCTTCACATTCAAGTCACGATCAAGCAGTATGTTTTCGGCCTTGAGATCTCGGTGAACAATGCGCTTCGAATGACAATATTGAATAGCAGACAGAAGTTGTCGGAATTTAATACGAGCCTCTTTCTCTCGCATCTTCCCGTTGGCAACAAGGTAATCGAAAATTTCACCTGGAAAATCTAATATCGCAGGAGAACTTGCATACCTCCACTGGCATATTCCATTACCAGACAAAGAACATCTTCATTCTCGATTATCTCAAGCAACCGGACTGAAAAAACGAATAACTACTTTAACACTACATTCAGTTACCAATATTCGGATGGTTGGTAGTTTTCATTATGGTAATCTCCCGACGAAGCTATAATTAATTAGTTTAAAACAGGTTTTACTTACGCGTTTAAGGAGTGTGCTGTCCATCAGCGTCTTGTTTATTATCTTAATCGCCACCTACGAAAAAAGTTACCACAAAAAATTACGTACCTCTGCTCCAGTGGCCATATGAATGGCCAGTTTAACTTTCGCAAAATTTCCTTTCCCTATTGTGCGTATGAGGCGGTACTTCCCAACATTGTTGCTGGAATTAACCTTCGCAGCTGCTGGAGCATGATGCACTGCATGTGGGTCGTGTGCATGATTTTCCTCTGCTGAATTAGCCGCTTTCGTTCCATCATCCGTCTGGGTCTTTTCCACTCCAAGCCGGGTCGGAGTTCCTTCAGGATCCACAGCAGTTGGTATGGACACGATTTCCAGCGCAGGCATTGGTCCCACAGATGGATTGTAGAACTCGGTTGTGCAGTTGGAAATACCGCTAGTTTCAACCTCCATTATATGAGAAGCAACAGGTCACGTCACTGGAAAGTTGAATATTTATTTAGGTCTCACTCACTCGCTTCGCTACAAGCAGGTGACACGAAAACAGCCACGAGAGGGACATTTCGAAAGGGCGCGGACAACGTACTTGAAGCAATTGTGGGAGTTTAGGCTGGCAGTAGCTGATTCAAACTAAGAGTACACCGATCCTCTGATTGATTCACAGGATCGAGGCTTTTGCCCAAGATTCCCGGATCGGTTTTGTTCTTGTCGTTCAGCAGCCGTCGTTCACCTGAAATCTATAAGTGAAAAAAGGGCGTGGCACTGTTCTTTAAGGTCTCAGCGCGGGGCAGTGTGCCTGCCAGAGCGAGGACTCACATAAATATCTAATTGGGGTTTGAAGTGGGCTCTAGAAGGTGCGTCAGCAACCGTCAGAAGAAGGTAATTCCACGCAGCTATTACCCGGAATGAGAAGAATTTTGTCCATTCAATTTGTGTACTCTGGGCTTGAATATCTTCTTACCATGCCCCCGCCGTGGGTTTGCTGGAGAAAAAAGGTTGGCCGAACCTTTACAGACGGGGCATAAGTAAGAACTAGGTCCCTGGAGGTGACGACGCTCCAGGGAAACGAGATCAAGCATCGCGAGACGCGTTTCGTAGTCCACGGGTTTGAGGCCGGCAACCATTTTCGTTGCGTCTCTCTGGACACGCTTAATGAGGGTGACGTCTTTTGGGCTTCCTGAGTCGACGTGCACTTGATGTGGTCTGACGTAAGCCCCATAGAGTATTTGGAAGTCCGTGCTCGTGAGACCGGCGTAGTTGCTCCGAATCATCTGTAAAACGGCGAAGTATTTTGGGCCGATTTCTCATGGTGCAGTGAAAAAGACATGTTTGAACAGAGCCAGATATCCAAATCCCTTTGGTGTCTTCTGATGTCTTCTGGTCCGTCCTCACCATGAACGACAAAGGCATTCGCTGATTCTCCCCCAAATGACATATGGACGCACTTTTCGTCATTCAGAGGAAGGTGTCAGTCCAGCGACTACTGCTTTGCAGCGCCTACATCCATTTGGAGGGCACTGGCATTGGAACACCATGGTTTCAAGTCATCCGCGAAAAAAAGACATCGAGTTGCGAGAACACCCGGAAGGCCACCGACGTATATCACAAACTGCAGCGGTCCCAAAACGGAGCCTTGAGGGACGCCGATGGAAAACGGTGCTGGAGAAGAGTAGGTTGAGTCTATTTTCACTCGGAATGGTCTGTCTCTTGGGAACGTCTTGATTCAGTGTAGGTTGTTCCCTTGAATCCCGTAAGTTTCAGATGCTTTTGCGAAGTCAAACATATGGGATTTTATATGAGCCCCTCATACTTTGCGTCGGTTAAGCTGTCCATCAAAACGAGCATGTTCGTCATGCAACAGCTGTTTGGGAGTGACACGTGTTGAGCTGGAGATATCAGGCTGTTGGAAGTAAGGTGATCTAAGGTAGATCGCTTCACAATGCGTTCCATCACCTTGCACGACACGCTAGTGATGCTTATAGGCCTGTAGCTGCCGGGCTAAATCGGTTCGGTTTCAGAATCTGAAGATGAGTGCCGTCACATTAGCTGCCGAATATCCGTCTATAATTCCTTTCGGAACATAATATATCTCCTAGACTGCAGCGGTAGGAGACCGGAGGCCCAAATACCCTGATCAAACCCATTTACTCATCCCGCCCTAATGTGAGATGGTTACAACCACCTATAGGTAAAAAGAAATGGATTTGTAGTCCCTCAGCATTAGAAGTTTCGATGAGTTCGGTTGGTATACAAACAAGTTTGAGGCCGGAGGCGCCTGAATTCAGATCGGACGGAGCTGTATACTACCAGCAGCTCAAGGAGTTTAACTCGTCTCGAAGCGGCTCGCTTCAGCTCACCTCAGCTTTCGCAGCTTCAGGGCAGAGTTATACTATCGTCCGGCTGCTTGTGTACAAAAGATCCGGAGAGCTGCTGCCTAATAACTAGCGAAACGGCAGTCGGTGTCAGACCCCTGGTGATCCATTTTTACGCAATACAGCTTTCGTGTCACGGTAATACCCCACAAATCATTACCTTCACAGTAGTCGCACTATCGTCACTGTACTCTCTGAGGGCAAAGAAACAGACCTGCTATTGTCTCATCGTATGCTCCCACTGAAGCCACGTAATTCCTCGGAATTTATGCGCCACAGCTTTCTTCGAAGTAGCCCCCAAGCCGTTCTAAGTTGCGCCGCTACACTAATTGTCCTATTATACCACGTACATTTACCAGGGTCGACTTTCTAACGTAAACACACACATGCGTCGATTCGACTCGTCAGTGTGCTTACCCTTAACTACCCTCTAACCTATTTCTGGGTCAGAGGTTTCACCTCCTGAGAGTGGAGCTGCAGCTGTTCTCTGGGGTGCAAGTGTCTAGTGCCTGACGTTGTAAGTGTTTTTATGCCCGTCTATGCTGCCTCCGTCATATTCCCCGACGTTTGCCTTGAACTTCTGTTCCCAGATAGCTCATTTCTTATCCTTTCAAGTCGGGTTCCATCCCTGAACAACTCTGTCAGCCCTGTTTGATGTCTGATGCCTTGCCTTGACTGAATTTAACTAATCTTAGCCAAGCCAAAGCCCAGTTTCTTCACTGTTCAGAACCATGTCACATCCTCTGACCATGGGCAATGGGTCTGGAAATGCCCAATGAATGGAGCACTTGTTTGGTTCCACATCCCGTTACATTTGCCTCCGCAACTTGCCCCTTCCAGCGGCTGTTTGCTGTTTGCTTGTTCGAAATGACTGAACCGTTTTATTGGCCTGGCTTTCCCCGACCGGATAGAATGTCCGGTGAATGGAGTTGTTTATTAGTGCATAAACCGCAATTATGCCTTTTCGGTGGCTTGTCACTGAGAATCCGGTAGCATGTGCGAGAGACGGGTACGCCTCATTGGGGGTCTCACTGTTACGTCACACCGTGGGCGTTTGCATGCTCGCCAACCCTTCAGTAGCACGGGTTCATTGCCCATCTCCGGTGGTTTCGAGCTTGGCCTATACTTCAGGAAAAACAAAAAACACCTTTGTTGTTTTTTTGTGGCTTGGTTGAACTCATTCCGGTAGTTGTCTGGCAACACCACAAAATGCAGGCGGCTGACAGCTGTCCTTTCATCTGACGGAGACCTGAGATAGTCTGAAGATACTGTGTGAGGCTCACGGCTAACATCAACGTGTATGGTGCCAACCCTTTCATCTTAGTTGGCTCGCACCATCACAAGTCCTTTTCATTAGCCAGAAATAACACACACGTTCTTTCCTCTGGTTCCATGAACTGAGCATGCACGTAAAATGTAGAGACATTATTTACTGAACACCAGAAGTCACGGCCAGCGTCTGTTGGCTGTTCTGCCGTGCTCCGTTGCTTGGAGCTGACCACAGTGACCCGGTGACGGGCGAACCATACTTTTACCTCTCTGTTCAGCTTATTTAGTAGCTCACAGTTACTCTACGGTTCCTATCCATTATCTCGGGATCCCTTGCCCAACTGGTGACGTTTTTCTCCTTTCTTCCTTATCCTCATTAACCCCAGCATAGTTTGCACAACAGTTTGGATTATTCAGCTGAGCTACACACCACTTCAACTCCCTGTCCAACTCACACTGTAATCGCCCGTACCAACCATTCCAAAGGAAAGACTCCGTACTCAATACATCGGTGGGTATGTCCTCAAATTCTAAAACCCACGCAGCTACCCTCGTCCAGATCATGCTCGGTGAAGATATCAGAGTGCAACGAGGCACGATTTTCTCTCCAGGTAAACTGGGCCCTTACAAAACTGAGCGAACTCCGAAACACGAATTTAGAGGTGTTCTTGTTCCCATAAATATCTCTACCACATTTCACGTAGCTCGACCTATGCATGCATGACAACCTGGCTCCTGGCCCATGGAGTGCGATAAATCCTCCCTTACCAGAATGGCCGGACTATCGTTTGCCCCTCCAACAATACCAATGCGCCCCCGGTTACCTATATTCACTTTTACGCATCTACAACTTTGACGTGTTAACCTGCATTTAAGCCAGTGTCAGCAACGGTTGTCCCAGGTTCACCAAGATCCTCCAAAGCTTGAGTCAACTTATGTCTAAAACAAGTATTCTACAACCTTCCAAGTAACCAGGCTTGTTCAGCTTATGCCATGAAACGAATTATTTTAATGTGCACTCTATTTCCAAATATTTTGGAATTCTCCGACCTGTATTTTGCTTTTGTGTTGAGCATACGTACCTTTACTTTGCGAAATGAAATCCCTTTTACCAGACGGTCCCATTTTCCGAAGATATGCCAGGTTTTCATCGTCCAGATAGATGTCGTGATGGAGTATTGCCCATTTGGTATCTGAAACAATAATGCTTTCCTCCGTCCCTCGTTTTGATACCTCCAGCAGCACTGCTATTTTTCAAAAACTGTCTATTCCTGTCCCGCTCGATCTGGCTTTCTTTTCTGCGACATTCAAGACGTGAATAATGGTCTTTTCTGCCTCACAACCTCAGTTGTATTTTCTGTTCATTTTGTCGAAGGATGCAGGTTGCCAACTTCCTTAACAAGTTAGTGTTACACTTCAACTGAGGGTACTATTATATATCGCGCTGTCCTTCTATTTCATGACGTACTATTTTTTGCGTGCTTATTCGCTCGCTTTACTTATCCTTCTGATACGTTGTTGTACCGTTTTGTGATAATGTACACTACTTCGTTAGAACAGAACTCCCCGAGCTACACTTGTGATTAATTTTTCGGTCCAAATAAGTGACCTCGTGCACAACGACCTAAGTTTTACTTTCGGATGCGAATGGAAGGCAAGTTTTGTTATTTGGACATTGTAGAGATTAGAGTAAACGAGCGCGTTTGGTTTCACTGTACACAGCACCCTGAAGTTCTTTCAGAAGGCACCCAGTCCCACTGAACACAGGTCATTGTGTTTTCAGTTGAGTTTCTTC